CTGCTCCAGCAGGAGGGAAAGGCCGTGCTTTCCCCTCTCCACTGAAGCGGCAATGCAGTCAGCTCACACAAGCGTTCAAGCTAACTCACAGGTTCCCTTTGCAACGTTAATTGTTAAAATTTTGTTTTTAATGGATTGGGTGACTAACAGTGCCCAAATAGTAGGACTTAACTAATTAAGCTTATAGCAGAAAAGTTCCTTTGCCAGTTAAAGAGGAATAGGTGAGAGGTAGAATCAACAAAACCTTAAGCTGATTGTACCAGAGATGGTGCCTGTTCCACAGAAACACATCATATCTCTCAGATTGCTTCTTAGTTTAACTATGAAGAACATATACATAAATCCCATAAAATACACATTTCAATGTCAGAGCACAGAGATTTAAGAACTACAGAAAACAGTGCCCCTCAGATATTACATGTGAGATACTAGATCACTTGAGAAGACTTATTAGCATTTATCAGGGTGGATGGAAATACATAGACCAGAAAAGAAGTGTGAATTAATTAAAATTTCTGATTTGTAGAATCATGTTGTTTATATATTTATTCACAGCTATTATTGTCCAGCATAAGTGGAAACGACTGTATCAGACATACCACCTATGTCGCAGAAGATCTTCCACTTATAGGTGAAAATCTTGACTCCGAGTGTCTGGGAGAATAGGGAATGATAATGTACCTTCCCTGTTCAGTGAGGAATGGCAATATAATTGCTCAAAACAGACTGCTGCAGTGGATTTCCTTACTTAACTCTCTTGAATTGTGTTGTAATAGAGGAAAGAGTAGGGAGCACAGAAAGCCAAATTCAGACACGGTGAAGAAAAGTAATGTATTAATGGTAACTGGGAGGATTAAAAACACGGACAGGCTCAGACTCCTGATCTGTTCCTGTGTTTTGCAATTATACATCGTTTAGTGAAAGAGGTTGGTGCACTCTACTTAGCATCCAATTTTATCTCGTGTAGTTCAGCTGAATGGGTTGAGTTGTGTATTAATTAAAGAAACCGTGCCAGGATGTACAGGCTCTGAAAGAAAGAATAGAAGAGGCAGTTGGAAATGTAAAAATGCAGAACAGGAAGAAGTGAACTGAGAAACTAGAGGAATAGGATTTTTACTCCATAGTTTAGAAACAGCCAAGATGGCAACGTTCAATCTACTCTAAGTTCATTGTCATAAACTGTGTGAACGAATAAAAGTTCCTAGATGGTCTGAGTCACAGACAGTGCAGAAACGTATTTTTTCCTTTTAGGTACGTTTGAAAAGCAGAAGAGGAATTTTGAATGGTTTAAGGCTCATGATGAGTTTGCTGTAAAATCACAAGAATGGTATGTACAGAGAACTGCACCAGGATAGTGATTGCTTTTGTGGGGCTTGAGAGATGGTGAAGCAAGTCTTTCACTGCCCACTGTATTTGCTAGAAGATGCAGCAGGAGAGAACACTAGTTCAAAGTTTGGGTTGATAATTTATCTTATGTTAGTGTTATCTTCTTTTGCATGTGCTTAGGAGTGGGTTGGGGAAGGAGGCATTTGTCTTGGGGAAAAAAAAAATGGATTGCCTGTTCTTCCTTGTCTGTGCTTATCAATTAATGGGGGTTGGAACTAGATGATCTTTAAGGTCCCTTCCAACCTGAACCATTCTATGATTCTATGATAATTACTGATAACTCTGCTCCAGTTCTGATACAATACCTCTTTGATTTACTAGGAAGCTGTACTTGGTAAGGCTGATAACTTATATTGGGTATTTCTTAAATTCATTGGAAAGGAAGTGTCTTTTCACAGCGGAGTGAATTGAATTCCCGTTTGGGTTATAATGTTTTATAAGTAATCAGTTGTTAAGAAACAGATTATCTGCAGTACTGGGGAGTACCACATTTGGCCTAGAAAGCATCGTGGTACTGAGTGGTATGTTTTAGCTCTCTAAAAAATTGAAGGTCTTCCATGTCAGATGCTTTCTCCTCTTCTTCATTATTTTCCTACAGAAATGAGAGTGAGGGAAAGGAGCCTTATTTTCCCCTACTTCACCACTGTCTAGAATTTTATTATAATATCCTTTTTAATTACATTGTGGTAGCATAAACATTGATGAATTAATAGTTTGTAGTTTACAACCAGCACTATATTCTGTGCTGTCCATATATATTAGTGTTCCTTCTGTGCATTACTTTGCAGAAAATGCAAGCTTCAAAGACTGAAAATACAGAAAAGGCAGAACCATTCTACAGGCTTTCAGTGCCAAAGCAGAAGACGAGTTCTGAGATTATAAATGAAGCCAGAAATGTTCTGCGAACACTGACAACTCGGAGACCATCTACACCTACAGAGAATCAAAGGAAACTTTTTGGATCTGGATCCTCACGAGCTCCTCAAGATAGACCTCCTTCAGTTTTTAGGTATTGTGGCTTTCAGAATTTTTCAAATATCCTTTAGTATCAAGAGATTTGATTCTTTAATTATATTCCTGGTGATTTTTTTTTCCCTCTGTTAATCTGTATTCCTAACCACATCCTTTGCCTTCTTTGAATGATCCTTACTGTTGGTGTTAACCTACAAGTCCAGGAAGTTCCTGTGAATTAGAGCTACCAGAGGCAATCATTACACTGGTTTTGTATGTGGAGAATAGTATAGGAAAACGGTCTGTCACTCACCTTCTTTCTTAAGAAAATGTATGCTTTTAATTGAGGTAGTCATCAACTTTTCCCTAGGTACTGTGAAAGCTTGTTTATTTCCACATAAACTGTATGCTAGACTTTTTTCAGAGCTTTCTCAGATTTTTTTTTTTTTTAATTTGAAATTGTAGGCATTGAAGTTTGAAATGCTCATTTTTAAACAAAATTTATACTACTTCAAAATTATTTCTGCCTGGAGTTTTGTTACCTAGCATAATTCACAGAGCTCAATAGATCTGTCTCTTGTGACAAAAGAGAAGAAAAATGTATATTGGGCTTTTTACATCCGTTTTCCCAGTCATTTTTTAGCTCTCCTTATATGCTAATCATGTAATGACTTTAGGGAGGAGACGTGAGCTGTGTTTGTAATGGTAGGTGTCAGGCATGCCAGAAAGGATGCTGAAACACGTTTGAATGGCCGTACGAGTAAGTCAGTGTCCGTGCTGTTTTCATAGCAGCATGACTTCAGGCACTCTATATCTGATATTCCTTACTTACAGAAGGCAGGAGCCTGAGAGTGACTTGGCTGCTTGGTGACCAGGTAATGAGGTCGCTCTGGCTGACATCCGTGCTTGTTTCTGTGCTTCTCCCCTGCATGGGAAGGAGCATGCTCATGCCTGCACAAATCCGCTTTTTTTGCCCTGCCCTGTTCTGCAGCTTGTGTCAGATGGCTTGGGCGCTAAGCACAGTTGGTTTTGTGTGTGAATTTAGGCTTATATTGGAGAATTGTATCACTGCAGGTGTGCAAGCAGTCTTGTCATTCTGTTCCCTTGGTGCTCCTGAAATCCCAGATGTCACAGTTAAATAGCGTTCACGGAAGAAGAGTGATGGTGTAAGAGTGCTCTGTCACTCTTCCTTTCTTCCTTCTTCTTCCCATACTCATTGACAAAGGGAAGAAGCACGCCGTTAAAATACCCACAAAACACTGGGTCCGCTTTATTCATATGATGTTTAATTTCTTTGTGCTAGTGTTCACGCATCCAGTTTTGATTTGGCTGAATCAAGACCAGTGTCTGGTGTTCGTCTTAGCCCACTGGATCATGTGAGTACTCTGGAAATAACTCTGTGCAACACTGACATAAAAATAGGTGTTACCAGTAGTGTGAGGGAAAGACACTGTTTAAATAAGTTGGGGAGAAATGGACACCTGTCGCAACATTAGCGTGAGACTTACAAGGTCAGTTTTGTCATTTTTTCCCCCCAAATAAACCTGAAAATAATTTAAACTGTTTAAATATTGCTGTGTTGCATTATAATTCTGAGTGACACTGACAAGAATAAGAAGTCAGATATCTGAGTCAGCTTTCTTGTGGAAGATCACTAAAATAGAAGAAGGTTGTGAGCATCAACATGAGCCAGCCGTCTGCCCTTTCCACTAAGGAGGAGGGTAATGGTATCCTGGGCTGTATTAGGTGGAGCATTGCCAGCAGGTTGAGGGAGGTGATCCTTCCCCTCTACTCAGCACTGGTAAGGCCGCACCTGGAGTGGTGGGTCGCATTCTGGGCTCCCCAGTACAACAGAGACATGGAGCAACTGGAGAGAGTCTGATGAAGGGCCACAAAAGTGATGAAGGGACTGGAGCATCTCTCCTGTGAGGAAGGGCTGAAGAGTCGGACCATTCAGCCTGGAGAAGTCTCGCGGGGATCTTCTCCGTGTACATAAATACCTGAAGGGAGGGTGCAGAGAGGACAGTCCCAGACTTTTCTTGGTGACAGGACCAGAGGAAGTGGGCACAAACTGAAATGGAGTAGGTTACCTCTGGACTTCTTCTTCCACTGCAAGGGTGATGCAGCCCTGGCACTAGTTGCCCGGAGAGGTTGTAGAGTATCAGAGGTTGTGGAGTATCCATCCTTGGAGATCTTCAAAAGCTGCCTGGACATGGTCCTGGGCAGCCGGCTTGGGGGTGCTCCTTGAGCAGGGGCTTGGCGAGATGACCTCCAGAGGTCCCTGCCAACCTCAGCCATTCTGTGGTCAATAACTTGAAAGTAACTAGGTTGACCTACGCATCTGTTTAATGTAACAATTTTAGTTTATTTAAAAAACAGAGGTATTTGTAAGTATAGCTGCCCTTTCAGATTTTTTATATTTAATCTTTAAAAATAAGGTAAAGTCATGATCATTTGTTTAGTACCCAAGAGAACAGAGCATACCAAAATGGTTAATTATGTGTGCTGTATATATTGTTTCTTCAATATAGTAATCTAAATGTAGCATTTTTTAGGAAATTAGGGGAAAAAATTCCCAAGAAATGTCATGCTTCAGTAATTGTGGTAAGATAATATATTTAAATGAACCAAATTTTAAAATTCTCACCATACTTATATTTAGATTAAATGTATCTATAGTTGGTTTTAAATACTGGAGTTAAATTTTCATTTATCTTGTGTGTGAGAGTGGGAAAAAAAAACTAGAGAAGAATGCTATTCAGGAAATGCAGCTTTTACTTCTGGTGAAAGTACTATTGGTCATCTTTATCGATAGCGATCAGTTAGTACACTGTAAATGTAGAGCTTGTATTAGCCACAGTGGTTGCAGGGAGTAGATCTCACCTCTTGGCTATCTTCAGCTAATACCAGGGAGAGCTCTGAAGGATTAGACTGGTCCTCTGTTGTAAGGAAGTTGGTAGAAACCCTTGATCTTACGGGGCAATGTAGAGCACAGGCCTTTTTTACTAGAGGTTCAGGGGGGTTGGTCACATCCTCTAAAGATGCAAGGTATTGACATAAATAAAACCAGGACTTGCATGTTTCTGGATCTGCATGATATGTCTCCATGTGATAGGAAGTGGTACCTATGATACGAACACATTTGAAGTGTTTTGTGAATACTACTTTAGTGCTCAAAAATAAATGGTAAAGAATAAATGTGCTTCTAGAATTGTCAGCAAAGTCTTTAGCACAACTTTGTTTTTGACAAACAAGCATGCTGCAGATGATGCTAAATGAGTATTTGTGAGGAAAATGAATAATTCTGAGTTTCAGTTCCCCTACTCAGGCTAGTTGTTTTTTTTCTGTACCCCTGAGTGTCTTTCTGTCATGATAATGGTGTAGTTATCTGGCTTGTTTGGTGGCAGCATGGTATCATTAGATTCAGGATATGAAAATGAAAATTTCTTAATGAGCAAAATTACATAACTTTTATCTGTTCTATCCTGAACTTAACCCTTTGTGTAAATATATATTTTTTTAAAATTTTTCTTTATGAAGATGAAATTATCTGTGCTTTTATTAAAACATCTTCTTTATCTTTGTCACAGAAACCAATACTAGTCACTTCTGCAAAAGATGAAGATTCTTCCATTTCCACTCCAAAGCCTCCTGCAGATGCTGCAGACGTTAGAAAAGTCAGCAGTGCTCGGACACGCTTTTTTAGAAGGATTTCTCAGGGAAATTTCCTTTCTGCTAAAATGGTTCTTCCTGATCAGGGTAAGAATGTTTTGACACTTATTATTTCCAAGGAAAATAACTGCATGCTGGGTTTTAATATAATGAATTACATTAATTATTGTATCAAAAGACCTTCACGTCCTTCCAGAGTAAATTTTTTAAATATTTAAATGGTTTTAAGACAGTTATGAAAATGTGATTTCCAAAAATGATACTGGCTTTCACTTCTGAAAGTGAGTTGAAAGCTACTCAAGTGCCTTTTTTTCCTATAGGTTTCTAAATAACGGAATTTTTACTGAAAGTTTTCTTCAGTGGGTAAAATAAACATTAAACGCTAAAATGTTTGAAGAGACAATGAGATGGCGACGTCTAAGGAGGTTCCTTAATGAATTGTTGAGAATAAAAGAAAGAATTTTGATGGTTGGACTACTTGATCTTAAAGGTCTTTTCCAACCAGAACGATTCTATGATTCTATGAATAAAAAGGAATTGTATGTCTTGACAGGCCTCCAACTACGTTGTATTTGTTATTAAGAGTTTTGCTAATGGAGACTTAATAAAGGTTGCTAAACATGAGATATAAAGGTAGTTTTCTTACAGATGGGAAATGACTTGACTTCTTGGTTTCCTGCACATTGGCTCATAATAAAACATGCTGGAACTCTGTCTTTAATGAAGATTCATTTGCAATAATGGCAATTCTTACATTGCCTGGAATTGTTACTTTATGTGATAAACTGAGTATCTCGCTTTTCACCTTATTGCACAATAAGTCTTATGCCAAAAACACTGAAGTTTACTTAATTATTTTGCCCATATTCTATGAATACATATTTACATCATGTACCCCTATATGTCATTTAATCCATTAGCCTTAATAAGTTGGTGTTGCTAATCGGAGAAGTTGAGTTATACATGCTAATCGAGTTATAGCCTGAGTTTGCCTCTTCTTCCCTTTGGGGATCATGCAAATGTTTACATAAGTTTTATGTGCAGGTTCTTACCATGTGTTCATACCAAGGTACAAGATTAACAGCTGCCTTTTTGCTTGAGTTCCTTCATAATAATCAGATTCTGAAATATAATCACTCTTTTCACAAGTTAAAATCCACCTATCTGTAAAAGGGAAATTAAAAAAAAAAAACCCAACACCTAAGAAATTAACACACTCCTCCCAAAACCAAAAAGTCCCCAAAAATTAAAATGTTAAAGCACTAAACCAAAAGACTTGAAGAAATTATATTCATAAGAAGACTTTGACTACTTTGCTCTAAATAGTCTTAAGCTTTCTCACCTTTTAAATTCATACAAGAAAATTTTGATAAAGTAACATGACAAACAGCAATTGATTTTGAGCTCTGTCACATGTTTATTGTGTATGAATACTTCTACAAAATACATTCTCTTTGGCTGTTTCAGGTGAAGAGAAGCTAGATTCTGAAGAACCAGCTGTGATGCATTATCTTTGCAGAAGTAACGATAGCTGCTTAGCAGAGCAAAAGTCATACACAACATTTAATGATGAAAGTAAACAATTAATTTGTAATGAGCAAATCAGCAGATTGGAGAGGGAAGACTTCCTAAAAGGGACAGCAGGAAAAGTTTTATTTCAACTGAGAGGAGAAAGGTCAGTATTGCTGGAGTAATATGTACCTTCCACACAAGCCTCTTCCTACATATTCATTTGTGCAACTGTCAAAATGTTTAAAATTTATGGAATTTGAAAGTACCACTATTAATATATTAAAACAAAATGATGTTTAGATTATTAGGAAAAAAATCTTTGTTTATTTTCTTAGGAAGCTTCTACAATCAGAAGACTAATTTGTCCAAAAATTGTTGGTAGGAGGTTGCTTGATATGGAATAAATTTGATCATTAACATATCAAAACTAAATCTTCTAATTGCATGTCGAATACTCAGGTTTAAATTCAATGTGCTTGCTTTTACAGTTCAAGCCTGTTGTTTTAAGGAGCTATACGTTCTTCCCTTAGCTCCACAGATGAGTAGAGCCATGTTTTCAGTTCTGTTATTGGGCAAATATGTGATCGTACACAAAAACCAGGCTTAAACTCAATGGGAATAGAGGCAGAATTTATTTGTTGCTCTGAATTTACGTTTTAGGACTTTTTTAATCATCAAACAGATGTAAGACATTTATGTGCGTGCGGTCTTTTTTTATTGAACCTAGATTATTACACTGTTTCTGTAATTCACAATTAAGTAATTTTTTTCCCTTTTGATTCAGATCTGAATTGTTGCACAGGGAGGAATGGTCTGTGGCACTGTGTTCATTAGGTGTATCAGTTACTACATTAGTAGTTGGATGAACACTCATTTGTGGTAACAACATTGGCAGATCTGACAGTCTCTACAACAAAGTTTACAATAACAGTTTATTTTCAAAACACATCCTGTAAACACTTGGTCACTATTAAATATAAAGGTTTGCTAGTAGATATATTTCTAGCATGTTTTATGCTTAGGAAAAAAATTATTTCCTTCGATGTTTTTAAGAACCTTTGATAAAAAGGAGTATATTCTTGGTTTTATAAAATGAAGCCCCTTTCATTTACTAACTTGATGATAGTACTGAGTAGTTTAGAGTGTGTTGTCCATTGCGGCTGTTCTAGCAAATGATACATAGCAGAGCTATTGTAGCACTCTGTTTTTTATACTAAACTGAAAGCGGGATTAAAAAAAAAAATTCTGAAAGACTGGAGACTTGTGGGAGCAAAGAAGAAGTTTCGTGAGTGTGGAGGGAGGGACAACAAAAAAATTAACTAAGTGATGAAAAATTGTGGGTGAAGGGAAGTAAAGCACCAAGGAGAATGCTTCAGTGCAAAATCATTTTCTCTCATTAAAATCAGTCACCCAAAAGACTCTTTAGGTAGAGACGGTATGGGTTTCCATACGACATAAGTTAGTCTAATTTGACTTCTATTTAGTAAAGGTGCGGTGGGAAGTACTTCAGTGTTGCAGTTGAAATGGGTGGTTAGTTAATGGTATCCAAGTGTCTCTAGTAAGAAAGGGTCAGTTGATATTTTTACTAATTGGGAAGAATGACCTCACTTCTGAGTCGTAATTTTAAAACCTGCAGGTCTGATTGAACAGTTAACTCATTGTACATTCTTTCTATCTGTTCAAATTATGTTCTATCTGTTCAAGCTTTTATAAGCTTGAGAGCTCTGCAAGTTTTTGATTTTGGGTTTTTGTTACACCCATTCATATGGCATTGAGTTTTTTGGTATCGTGAACCACAGAATGTCATGATTTACCTTGATATTTTTTGAGAATGACTGGCTTCTCTATTGAGATATTTGTAGGAACAGGATAAAAAATCCCATCACCAAAAAGATTGCTCATTGCAACGTGAAGCCCCATGGGATGTTTTCCCTTTAGTTTCTCTGTGTAAGAGGACTTTCAGAAAATACAGAAAGTTGAAGGGAAGATGGTGTATTTTCGATGTTAGGTTCTTCAGATAGCGTTATGGATATTTGAAGAATAGGTTGTCAAGGTTCTTTTTGCGTGAGCTCTGCTGGCTTAATTTCCTTATGACCTGTTACTTACTTTTCTGATTCTGAGCATGATAGCGAAGATACTAACGATTCTCACCACAAAAGATGGAATGTTAATGCATGTAGCTTGCCACAGCCATGTTTGAACTAGAGAGAATAATAGTAGGGGTAGTTGAATCTTACCCATCACTTAAATTAGATCTCAAATAACTGGACTTAAGATAATACAGAAAAATATTTTCCAAATGTTCTGAGTAGTTTTCTACAAAATATAAGAGTAATATTGCTCCCTCTTTCTGTGATGAATGTGAGATCTTTATTTTTGAATGGTACACCTTTACCTTCTCTTGTGTGGCGTGCATTCTGTGTACTTGAGACAGAGATGATTTTTGCCAGTGCTGCCTAAGAGATGCTGCCTGTGCTGCTTTAGACCCTTGCACCAAGGATCACTAACAACATTTCGGTGCTCATACGGCTTAGAGTACCAGACACAGCTGCAATGCTGCAATATGCACAAAAATAATACAGAAGCCTTTCGTGGAGGATAAAGTTCCCTCATCTGTATCAATCTCAGCTGCTCTCCTACATCCTAACGCATTGCTAAGACTGCGGCCAGTAAACACATCGGTTCAGTATTCGCACATACTAAACATACTCTGCCACGTGAGTCGGGCAGACCTTGATCTGTATCCTTTTCTCAGTTCAGAGATGTCATTCTTCATCTGACAAGGCGAAAGGTATCAGAAACCTATTCTTCAGTATAGTTCGTTGAGTTTGGTCTTGATAGGAGTTGTATATAAAAGGTTCCAGTAGCTTAAATAGGTCGTTGCAGTAACGGAGTTCTGGAATTCTTTCTCAATAGAACATGTTTACAGGTACTAGATGATTGCTATGATTAGATTGCACCTGCTTCAGTGTCATAAATACTTGAGGCATCTTGTATGAAGTTAAAAGACATTTTCTATTTCAAGTACATTTTATTCAGGAATAATAGGATGTGGGCTTAAAGGAATGTGAAACTTTTATTACCTAGGGTCCTGTCATTCTCCATGTGAAGCATTGTGTCAGCCTTCTGTGTCCCAGTGATTTAAAATCCTTGCAGGGATTAAACAAGAAGGTTATAGAAACAGTATACTTCGTACAGGAGGAGGTGCATGAGATTCCTTACTCCCCTTTCCCCACAGTTCTTATATACGTACCTGTCGTGGTTTAGCCCCAGTCAGCAACTAAGCACCACACAGATGCTCACTTGCTTTCCCTCTCCCCAGTGGGATGGGGGAGAGGATCGGAGGAAAAACGTAAAGAGAGCTTGTTGGTTGAGATAAGAACGGTTTAATAATTGAAAATAAATGAAATAATGATAATACTACTACAATTTAATGAAAGTAATAGTAATGATAGTAACATGTAATGAAAAAAAATGAAAAAGGAAGAGGGTAAGGGGAAATAATGATGCAACCACTCACCACTGGCTGACTGACACTCAGCCAGTCCCTGAGCAGCGATTGCCCCTTCCAGCCAACTTCCCCAACTTACATACTGAGCATGACATTTGATGGCATGAAATGTCCCTTTGGTCAGTTTGGGTCAGCTGTCCAGGCTGTGTCCCCTCCCAGCTTCTTGTAGAGAAGCATCTGGGAACAGACATGCAGGATGAGAAACTGAAACAGTCCTTGGCTTAATGTAAACATTAGTTAGCAACAAATAAAGATATAAGTGTATTATCCACATTCTTCTCAGCACAAATCCAAACTGTAGCCTCATACTAGCTACTGTGAGGAAAATTAACTCCATCCCAACTAAAACCAGCACAGTACCAAAATAACTTTTCTAATAAAACTGTTTCTGTCAATGATGGAACGGTCGAGCAAGCCAAAATAGCATGGCAGATTCCTGCCATTACTGCTATGACATTCATTTCAAAGAGAACAGAGGGAAGTGTTTTATTCCAGCAAGAGGCTTGCTCACTTTCCATCTCAAATTCTTTTGTTGTCCAAAGGACTGATGAAGCGAATGAACAGCTCTAATGAAATCACTGCTGCTTTATAAAGATACTGAGGCAAAGAGAGAAAAGGACTTCTTGAGGGGAAGAGTTATTTGCAGTTTTGTTAGCAGTTCTGTTTTTCAAATAACCATCTAGTTAGAACAGAATAGGTATATTAATTGAAGCAGGTTGAATTTATTGACATATTGCCTCAGGAAAGCAAGGAGCAATCTCTGACAATCATAAGGAAGCTAAGTTTTGTTTACATCTTCATCCAGCCATTGTGCCTTGCCATCTATTGTGATTGCTGTAGAAATGAAACTTCTAAAATGTTTTCTGCATTCATATATTTCAGCAGAAGCATCAACGGTGATGGCAGATTTGCTGATGAAGAGCAACAGTTTCCCTGGTGAGAAAAGACGAATTTTTTTTTTTCCTCCTCCTGCAATTTCTCAATATTCTGAAAGCTTAGATGCCATTCCAGGGCTCCTTGGAAACATAGGTGCCTTCATTGAGGAAAAGCTTGGTGGAAAACTGTTGATTCTCAAGTGGCATGCTCTGCACTTTTTTAAAATGTGATTTCTGTAAGTAGCTCCAAAAGGATTAGAAAGTGCTGTAGAGTAGATATACTCTGCCCTGTTTTCTGTCATCATTACTGTCCTTATTAAATGCATGTTTGACAGAATCAACTGCTTCCATAAGACAGGTTTCTCATTCTTGGGCTTTTAATGACATGGAAAAAGGCAATGACTCCTAACTAATCTTTCTCTATTTCCGCCTCAGGTCCATTAGCTCTTGAGACCAATAGTTTAAGGAACAATTGAGTGGTGGAAAAGCTTTCAAAGGTACAGCTTTCTGCAGTGTTTTCCAAAGAACGTATGACACCTGCCCTTCCAAGAAGGTGCCTATTTTTGTAATAGGGTTAGGGGATATTGAGAGGAAATTCAGAAATAAGAATTCTTTTCATAGACGTCTGAAGAAAAGAGCAACAGTCAGCAGTTACCTCTGGTCTCTTCACTTGTGAAAGAGAGAGTGGAGTTTAGGTTTATTTTTATGGCCTACTCCAAAAGGCGTCTTTCCACTCCAGCCATTAGTTTCAGTATAAGTTCTTTGGTCTCCAAAGCTGTGAGATCTAGGTCTTGAGAGTCCTTATTACCAATTGAATGGTAATGTGTGCCATGCAAGGGGTAAGGAAGGAAGCCAATTCAGTCTAAGTAGGGCTACAGCAGCAATGGATTTAAATTGAATTTTTTTTTAGAATGAGGATTCTTATGCAAGATTCAGGTTAGGAAGATGAAGATGCTGTGGTTTTCAGACTCAAATATATTTAGGCTGGTATTTCAGATATGGGGTGGGTGGGGGTTTTTTTGTTAGACTTAGACTGTCAGTAGTCTGCTTGCTTAAAGATACCCTGGCACAGGTAGATATTGTTAATATTTTCTGTATTAGGCAGAAGATGCAAAGACTGTGAAGAATAAAGAGGAGAAGGATATAGGTTTTTCATCAACCTTTATTATTCTTTTAAGCCATAATATTTAACATGTACATGAAGTTCTTCATCAACAGCCTGTATAAATAGGATACTATATTCTTTTTATCACTGGAGCTGTCATGAGTAATGGGCTATGCCCATGATCGTGTTTATAGAAGAATTTTTATATGCTCATCTTTAGGAAGACTCTGAGGGTAGTTGGCCTATTTGTCAACATACTTTTGCAAATTATGTTGCCTTTTTACTGTTTATCCCTTCTCATATCAGTGGTATCAGTTATAGTCTCAGTTATAGTTTTCACTCCTTATTTTCCTGTCTTTTCTGGTGGTGTTACTTAAGACATAATCCTCTACAATTCCTGAAATAATTTCAGGACATCTGTACTATCAGTCTTTCAATGTTTGCATGCTTCTGAAAAACTCTGTAGCTGAGAAACAGGGCTGACTAGAGGTTTGTGTAATTGGTTTAATACTCTAATTTATATTTCTTTTAGTTGTGTGCAAGTAATTTACTGTGTCTCCATTATGTTGTCTAAAAGTAAAAGTCTTTAAAAATTGAGCTGTTATACTACTTTTTTATTTGAGTACCACCTATTACTTATTTCCACGTTTTGTTTGTATCTACCTTGTTTGTGTCTGCGGTGACATCATAGAAAGGAAATTTCAGTGGTAATTGAGCAAAACAGGGACACATTCTCTTAAATGGTTCAGTGAAGGTCAGTTCTTTGTCTGAAAAGAGAGTGTCTTTCAAGTGCTAAGTTCTGGGTCAGGGAGAAATCACCTGGTTTAAAACAAAACCAAACCCACAAAAACATATTCCCTACTATTCAACCAATAAAAGACAATACAGAAAACTAATTCTGATGTTCTTTTGGCAACATAAAAGTTCTGGATAGTATAATTAAATAAGAATAAATGGGTTAATGAAAAAAGCAAATGTTAATTGGCATATGGAAAAATTAATTTCTATGATAGTTTGTGATAAAGCAAAATACTCTTTTTACTGCTAGCATTAGAAATAAACCCAGGTTACAGTATAAAAGTAGTCACGCTCTGTATATGTGTGTCAGTAACATCTCAATGAACAGACTTTCTAAATGTCCTATTCGTTTCAGGATAACCCACTCTCGGAGGGACTGAACTCTGATCTAGTCTGAACACCTTTGTGTCTGGTAGTTCTTTTGATACATCTGGCTTGTCTGTGCAGGCTCCCAGGACCTGCTTGCATTGCTCTAAATCTGTTCTTCTTACTAAGTGAAATGACTTGATTTTTGGGTGCGGCGACATCAGTGCACATGACATATGTTTGTAAAATCAGATGTTCAGTGCTTGTATTTACGTATCAGTAGTCTGCATCTTTTACTTACCGCAGTGCCTAGGCTGTTTTTAGAGCCTTGGGAAAAGTTAGAAATTGCTCTTCTGGGTGTTTGAAGACCTGAAAACATGGGTCTATCAGGGATCCAGAGTAAAATTTTTAAAAATTTGAGCCACATTTTTGAGTTTTAAATTAACTAGAAAAAAGGATGATTGTGGGGGCTTAAGGGAGTGGAATGGAGGAAAATACATTGGGGAGAAATTGAATGACTGGTGGGGGAAAATGGAATTATTAAGGAGAGGGGAAATACATCAAGGTGAAAAACATGAAGGAGAACTGCAGGTAGGGCAACCCAACAGCACCCTCTCTTTGCTGGAGGTGTCTCAGCAGCTTTTTGGTCACTTAGAAGCCACTGAGCAAGGTGGACTTTCCGTGTGACCTGTTGCGGCTTTTGGATATTTTTTTACATAAATAGCTAGTGTACTTCTAGATTAAGTATGACTGGTTTTGTTTACCTTATCCACGTAAAGAAAAAAATAAAAGGGCTCTAGGGACAAACAGTGAAACTATCAGGGGCTTTGGTTTGCTTATGAGGAAGGAACTTTGAAGATTAGAGTTGTGGTTCTGTAGATATGGAAAATGCTCTGCAGATACAGGTGTGTAGAAATTGTATGCTCATAATTGCAGTTTTCTGACCGAAGGAAGAGGCCATCAAAGAAATAAAAAGAAATTGAGAAGCAATAAACTCAAAGGCCTTCAAAATTTATCTAAAAATAAACTGAATCCCACCCCTCAACTAAATATTATTTTACTTTAATAAAGTGCTACTAGAAGTTAGCAATGAGGCCAACATTTTATCGAGAGCACATGGATGATACGAGATCTCTCACGTGGTGGCATCACAGACTAAGGCTTCTTATCAGGAAGGAACTTCTGACAAGGCTTTTCTGTGAGTGTCTGTACTTACCAGTTTTATGTCTTCTTCACTTCTTTATGTCTTCTACACTAAAAAGAGGTGGTGGAAGACAAGCTTTTGGACTAACTAGACCTTGTTGTGTTTTGTATTCTTAAAAAATGTATGTGAACATATGCTCAGTAAATTTTAATGTTACAGTTTATGGAGGTGACGCCTTCAGAAGGCAGTGTGCTGTGGCTTTTTCCAAGTATCTTCCTGGTTACCTTTTCTGGTTTCAGTGTTGCTGATGTTTGAGATTTACTACTACTCGGAAAGTTTTGTGTGGAGCTGACTGAAGGGAAATGTTGTTTTGTTAGTCTCCATGAAGTCCTTGGATGTTAAGCCTAATATTTCATCTATTTCTGTCTGTGGAAACCGGTTTGGTTCCTCTGATGTCTTCAACGACCCCCCACAACCCAAAGAAGGTGCCTTACGCAGTCATGTAGAATTTGCTAACAGAAGATACCTACAAAGTTAATGGTGCTCTGCAGAATCTTGTTATCTTTCAGGTCATAAAAATGATAATCCATTTTCATTTCCTTGTTTAAAAATGGAGAAGATATGTATTTCCAGACACCAGCTAGTGTCTGCTGCGTATAGCTCCCTCACAGCATTTACTCAGGGCGTACTGTGCTCACTGCCTTTCTAAGACTCTGTTCAGATTGTGCTTTACATGGGATAGTCCCAGATCCTATCTCTGCTTCGAGAGTCCACAGATTCAGTTTACACGTGTGCAAGAGAAAAGGCTCGTAATCTTAAAGTAGTGTGAGATCTTTGCACTTCCAGAACCAGATAGTATGGTACTTGAGGCCTTTTCCATACCCACTGCCCTTACCACTTACCTTACCTCTTATCACTCCACACCCACTCCACACCCACTCCCTGCCTACTCTTGTTGAAAACTAACCCCCATGTTCTTCATCCTTCTTTGCACTATCTCAGTCACTGTGCTCCTCTGTTCTTCTCCCGCTTCCATATTTTCTAGTTTTGCCTCCCAAAGAATGCATAGATGTTACAAAGACCTTATCATGAGGAGAGGGTAGCGTCTAGAGGGAATGCCTTTCAAGTCTGACAGTTCAGAAAAGATGATCATGTTCTCTTTCTGATTAAATTTTGCTACCTCACTGATCAAAAGTGCTTGCTAGAGACAATTCTGTAGAGAAGCATTAGCTTGTTAGTGTTAGGCTACGTGTCCTTCTTAACTGCTAACTAAATAATCGGTGGGGCACCAGGGCTACATCTATATTAATAATTAATAAAAATTAAACAAATAAGTTAGTCTCTGGCTTGGTGGCCAACTGCTGTGTCCTGGGTTATGTTAATACAATGGAAGTCTGTTTAACCTCCTCCCTACCAAACACAGAGTACTGGCTGGCAATGTCCCCCAAGTCTGCTTGTCTGTGCCCAGGAAAGCACTACTTTTCTTGGGTCAGAACCACAGCAGGGACCCTGGTAAGGGCTTGACTGAATGGAAGGGTGTCGCCCAAAATTCAGGCCCATTGCCAAACTGTTTTACAAGTAAGGAGGTAGCCAGACTCTCAGATGCTTAAGGCTCCGCTGTCGAAGGCAAGAGCCCAAGCACTATTCCTCTTTTGGGATCTTCACACTCATGTTTGTCAGTCAGACTTTTCTGTTTTGTGCAGCTTCTTTGGAGAGAACTAGCCCAGTTCTTCACCCCTGGGATGCATTTCTTAGAAATGTACTTTTCCCTGGAATACCACTGAAGGTGAGAGTTTGCGGGTTTGCCATTAACAAGAGGCTTGCTCATGGCAAGAGCAAGCAAGTAAGCATCTAAATATACAGAGTTTCTAAATACATGCTGCTTTCACTTAATTTTGCATTCTTTCACTAGGAAAAATACTGAACATGGTACTGCAGCACTGGCTCACCTTCATTTTGGAAGTCCTCGTGGTCTGTGTACATCTGAGAAATCAGTGTTCTTCATAGGGACTAATGTGCTCTCCCTTATATGAGAGGGATAGAGATGATCCAGTTGCCAAGTTCTTTTTTCCTCTGTACATCATCAGAGCCTCTGTCAGTTGATTTCTTGATGAGTCCCTTGTCAGATGATCAGATTTCTGCCAATTGACTTTGTTTCCAAGGCAACCACTCTCTTGACAAGCCAGTTCCCTTCAATAGCAGGTAACTTATTTTTTAGAGTAGCTTGATTACAGTTTAACTGCACAGTTCTTAACAAGATACTGCTGCTTAAGTTTCAGCCCTACATAAAAGTAAAAAGGTAACAAGGAAACAGAAGTGTATGTAACTAAAATGGAGCTGGCAGCATGGTAAAGATACATAAAGGAATTTTATAATCTCACAAAATTAGTAAATTGTACGTGCTTCCTAAAGATAAGCCTGCTTGCCAGTCATTCTCATTTATGTACATATTTAGTGTATTCTTTTTCTGAAAATGAGAGTTCCAGTTCTGCTATGAAACGTAGGAGGATGTTTCCCGAACGTACAGATAGTTCTATGAATACCAGCAGTGCAGCTATCTGCCTTCGTACTCACGTAGGTCTCTAAACTGGTTGATACTGATGTTTAAGAAATCACAGGTTCCAAAAAAAGCTTGCTTTTTCTTTTTACGCAGTTCAAACTTTGACATGATCCCACCCTTCATCTCTCATATGTGGTGTTTCTGTTCGATGATAAGTGTTCAGGTTACCACATCCTTTGCTTCAGCGTCTTTTCTATTCAGCTGCCTTTGTTTCCTACGAAACTTGTAGGTTTGTTTTTGTTGAGGCTTCTTGGATTCATCCTGTGGATTTACATTTTAGGGGAAGAGGCACAGACAGGATATTGTTACAAAGCTTGTTTTCTGAGGAAAACGAGCTCAAGCATCGATATTCATATAGGTAGGTGGTATCATCATGCCTACATATAATTCTGAAGGTGCTGATTTCTGAATATAGCTGGGTTAGTATTAAGTGACTGAAGTTGTTGCTCTCTTGCTAATTCAGTGTCCTTTGAAGTAGCCTTGATTTCAGGGATGGCTGAACCTCGTAGAATAATTTCTTAAACTTCTAAAACTTTGTAGGACAAGGTATTAACACAAATGAAACCAGAATTTTATTTCTATGAATACACTGAACTTTAAATAAAGTGTGTTGTAGAAACCCACTTTCTTACAGATGTCTATTTTAGAGCAGAGATGCAAGCATTTGTCTATTTCTTAATATTTTTTTTTAAGCATTGGTTCCCCAGAGGAGTAGGAATTTCTGTATATGAGCTGAAAACAATTTCAAGACAGTTAGTGTAAGCATTTGGATTTTGGAGCATTAAATCCTCATGCTGTAAAAAGAAAGCATTATTCACTGTTAGCCATAATGAAGCAAGTGTTTGTCTGTAATGTGATTGCTTGGGAAATTTTTGACTGATCACAGTGAGCTATCCAGTCCCTTCTGTAGGAAAGTGATCTTGCAAGAGCTTTGTCTTTTATTCTGTCTCCATCTGTTGATAGGATGACTTACATCTTCTGTCTGGACTGGCAGACAGGATTTAGGTGCCAATCCAGCAAACCACTTAAATAACAGTTTAGCTTTAGGCCTTATAGCAACTAAATAAACGGGTTAAAAAATTTGAAATAACATTGCTAACACACTATTGTTGTCTTCAGAAGGAAATTTAGGAGATTAGGTTGCATTGGTACATGATCTATAAATGGAATAAGTGTTAAATTAAACATACACTGAGAATAGAAACGTAGATTAAGACCTCTGTCTAGTACAGAATTTAAAGGAGAAAAAATTCCTGTTTAATAGCAAAGAGAGTCTATATCTTGTATTTTTCTTTTAGATCAGTGCTGCTTGAGTGTGAAGCTAGACAAACAGAATAGATTTATCACACAAATATGTCGTAGTTTTCCTGTGGCCAAAGAAAGACTAATCATACGTCAGCGGGAATTATGGCATTACTCACTGTTGCTTTACAAACAACTGACAACGTACGTGTTTCTTGTGTTAAGAGAACTAGTGACCACTGTACAGTTAATAGTAGTTCACAGGCAGACCTGGGAATTCTAATATTTACATTAAAGGTTACCAAAGTGTGTGTTTCTTTGAAAAGATTTAATGAGAAAATTTTCAAAGTGTTCATTCTCTCAGAAGAAATCACTGTCCTTGGGAATGGATGAACTTACAGTTTTAAGCTATTTGAGTTTATATTGTTAATGAAACTGATGATAAAATAAAATTTTGATCTTTCCGAGTTTAGTTTGATTCAGCTTTTGGTTGTATTATACAAGTGGAAATGCTGTAGGTTTTGTGTTCCACAGTGGTGACCTCTCGTGGCGTAAATACATCAGTATTTCTGAAGGAGCTGTCTGTCATACATACTGGAGGAACTTGTATTTATATGTCACTTTTAATGAGCAGATAACCTCCTAACAGTAAAAAACCGTAGAATCTTTTCCAATTAGCTATTAATGTGCAGATCTCCTCCTGAGTGCATGTCAAGAAAGAAGCATTTCAAGCATTATATTCTGTTACCCTTTGTGTCTATGTTGTGTTTTTTAGTGACCAGATGAAAGAGCCTGGCACAAGTTCAGCGTGGCTGGAAGAGAAGAGAAGAATAACAGGTACTTCATAAAGCAGTCTCCAGTCAAAAAATGTGAAATACAGTCAAATAGAAATAATCTACTTTTTGTGATTTGAAGATATTTTTCTTCTTTATTCACTGAACACTATTTTTTATTTTCTAGTTGTACTGGCTTTTCTTACTGTTGTTGGTAAAGAGAAATAGTATCCAAGAGATCTTCACTATAAAATCTGTTGATATTTTCTCTCTTGTTTTTCACATATGTAGGCTTAAGAATGTGCCAGTCTATTAACACCTTGTTTACCCATCACTTTTTGTAAACTGGCATAGTTGCACAGAAATTAATAAATTCACACCAATTGCCCTGCAGGGATGCGTTTTGCTAATTTTACATAACAGATTTTAATTAATTTTTCCTGAGAGCTGGCACGTTTCATACATTGCAAGTGCATATTTGAGAGTCTGGTGTGGAAACCTGAAGTTTCTACTCTGCTGTTATTATGCTTTATTACTCTGTTTTTGGAACTGAGAAGTTGCATTATTCTGGATCATTCAGGCGAAGGCTGTAATGTGCTCTGCTTTCATTTCCTTCAGAGGAGCTGAACATATTTACCATGTCATGGGAGTTACTGTTCTGTGGGGCAGTACTCTCTGTGTTTATAAACCTTTTATTGGTGCTCTTGAAAAAATCGCGTGTGTTATTAGGATTGTTTATTTTTATACCCACTTTTTTTTATCATTCTGTAGCTTCCTTAGTTTATGCACGCTTTATCTTTACTCCCAGCATAAACAGTGGGATAGCAGTAGGAATTCTCAATCATTTCTTCTCTGTAGTGAGGTGCTGGAGGGAGTGTTCATTTACAGATTGTTTCTGGTTTCTGTTATGTTTTGTGTTTATACTTTCAAATTTTAGAGAGGAGGTAGACGTTTTAAAATTGATATATTCGTAGCCACTCAGTATTCTGTGAAAAGGCTAAACATGATGTCAGACAGTACAGAGCTTTTGAAAGCTCAGTGTTGCTAAGGCTCTTGTATTTACATGCTAAAAACAGCAACCAATAAATGTAGACTGATTAGTGATTTTTTTTTTTTGACCAGAATGCAAAGCTGTGGTTAAGACCTATGAAAAACTGAGACAACAAACTTCAACTTGCTGAATTCTTTTGCTTGAGTATTTTTGCTGTTGAATTGTTATTCACTCAATTAGAAGGTCCAGGACAGCTTCTGCAGTATTTTAAATGCAACTAGTGCCATAACTTTTCATCAGTGCCTTAAAAATCTCCCAGGCATGAGACACATGCAAGTTCACAATTTAGTAATGATGCTTTTCTTTATAATCATGTATTTCCTGTTCATTCTTATTGCTAGGATTAATATTGCTTAGTAAAAGCTGATTATCTTCTTTTTTTCCCTAGTTACAAGAGATATTTGTCTAAAAAATTATGCCATTATGACTTTGTAGGTTGCTTTATTCCTCTCATGACTGCAAGGCAACTGCAGCGGAGTGGCAGAAAAAGATCAGTTCTTTTTGTTCTGAACTAAAAATTTGAATGGATGTGTTAATTTTTTTTTTTTTTTTTGTGAGAAATTTGGTCATATCTGCAAATGCAAACATAAACCATGGGGAAGTACTTTTCACATGAGGAAACACTTCTTCACTGTGAGGGTGACAGAGCCCTGGAACAGGCTGCCCAGAGAGGTGGGGGAGTCTCCTTCCCTGGAGACTTTCAAAAGCCGCCTGGACTTGCTCCTGTGTGACCTACTCCAGTTGATCCTGCTCTGGCAGATGATCTCTAGGGGTCCCTTCCAACCCCTACCACTCTGTGACTCTGTGAATCTATTCTATTTCTTGCTCAATAAAGTTAAGCATATGCATACTTAGAAAGTCAGTCCCATCTTTCAATTTGAGAGGTAGCTACAAATTGGAAAGAAAAGAAATAATTGAGTCAATATGTGGTTTTTGTGGCAGGAAGAAACAGTGCAAACTATTCTAGTGTTCTTATTTCAGCTGTGCTCTTATATTATCCAGAGCAGAACTTTCACTTCATTGCAAATGCTGCACAGTGTTTTATTAATTAAGCTACTCATTGATCTAAACTCATCCTATGTAAAAAAGAAAAGGTCTGCAAATTAAGTAATAATATTACCTAATAACATAGACTAATGTGTACATATGCATACAGCATTTTTGTATAATCTGTTGAAATAGATATAATTGATAGATTCACTCTGTGTGAAAATACAGTCAGACAGTTAATGCAGATACACAAAAAAAGTCTGGATTTCTTTTTAAAGAGCAAGCTTTTAAAATGGTCAGGATGTTTTTCATCTTTTACTGTTTCATTTATTTTTTCCTTTTTTAATGCTCAGTATACAGTTATTTTAAGGTCTGGGATACTGTTCTTGTGATGCAAATCTCTTAATATCAGTGTTCTCATGTAGCACAGTATTTTTTATGTTTGGTAACGATTGTTAAGAATTTACCTTGTCATTTAAATGCAAGAGCTAGTAATGAACAGTAGAAGAAACTTTCTCGCAGTTCTGTCACTTCAAAAAAATGTATCTATTGTACTATTAATGGCTTGCTTTATTTTATTTAGTGGTGTTGTGTGACTTTTATTTCCCTATTTAAAAAAAAAAAAAAGAAGCCAAACCCCATCTTTTTAACAACAACTTAGGTTGCCTGCACAGTAAGGATCTTAACCTAATCTTGAACTCCAAAAATATGCGTGCACGCACCTTGTAAGCAATTGTTAGATCCTTTAAAACTCAAGCTGGCTCTCCAGCTGCAGTGGGTCAGTGGTCAAGACCAGACTTATGTCACTTCACATAGTGCCAGGTGAATGTGAAAAGGATGTTCAGCAAGTCTGAATGGTTCCCAGTGATATTGCATCCATATGAAAGTCAATCCTGGAATCAGGCTTGTTTTTAATAAACCATGTTTCATCAACTCCCTTGTCCAATCTGAAAACAGAGCCATGCTCCTGGTCTTGTTTCTAGAAGAATTCCAGATTGCTGAGTTTTTGAAGCAAAGTATAAAAAAAGCTGAAATATTTTTTAAAACTTCTCTTTGTAAAGAGGACAAGAACAGTAGTTCTTTGTCAGTCACTGTGAAGGAAATTGGTTGAGGGTGGCCAAGAAAACTGCGAGTTGGTTGCCTTCAAGGTTTTGGACAAGTTTATGGGAAGCAAAACATCTTTCAGATACTAGTACTTTGCTATTAATTTCCCAAGATGGTATGTGAGAAATTGTTTAATGTAACAAAAATGGGAGGGAAACGTGCATTTTCGAAAAAAATTAGTCAAGACATTCTCTAAACTAATTGCATGAAGTGGTTAGAACTGCTAACAGGTTGTAATAGCTAACAAGACTATTTTTCCCTAACTAACCAAAGAGTCACTTAACCAAGCTTAGTGTGATATGTGCATGTGTACTGGATAAAATTGTACAATCCTAGAGGATTGTCTGTAGTGTGGATATATTTTGACACAGCTGTCACGTGGACACACAGTTGAAAAACAGTAGGACATGTTGATGTAGTAGTCATTACCTTCCAGTTGTTCAGCAATCAAATGAAACATTAATGTCAGCAAACAAGAACAAATCTGGCTTTACAGTACAGCTTTCTATAGCAAAACATTTATCCATCTATTTTTGTTTGAAACTTTTGGTTTTGAGAAAATATAAGTAAAAAAAAGAGCTTGAATAAGTAGAATAACCCTGAATATAGCAAAATGTGACATTTGTAGTTTTTTTCTTTGTGTCTGATGAATAAAGTATTTGTAGCTATTTATTTGTGTAAAAGTTGAAACCCTCACTGAATATGTGCTTTTGTTTTGAATGTATTTTGCAGGCTTAGAGGATGAAACAAGAATAAATGAATCAGATGAGGAAGAAATCTTTTGGCATATAAAGATTTTACCAATTCTGCATGAACTAGAAAAAGGTAAGTAACACTGTTCTTGACAGGGTGTATTTTCTGTACTATTTCCTGCAGGAAACATGGGTCTCGTTTGTGTTCACACTACAAAAGAATAACAGTAGTAGGACTATGTAGCTTTTTATGCTTTCTTACGTTCAGTGACTTTGCAGAGTAAAACTGGCCTGGGAGCTGTCTGCAGGTGGCCCTGCTTGAGCTGAGGGCTTGGAGAGATGACCTCCAAAAGTCCTGCCCATCCTCAACCATTCTGTGATTCTGGAGGAAAAAACAAACAAATACAAAACCAAAAAAAAACCCAAAACACCCACAAACCCAAAAAAAACCCCACCTGGTTTAGAGATGATCTTTTCTGATTAAATTACCTTATTTTAGACAACATAGGTCTGCCAGCTTAGCAGTCAGTGATGAGGTAATAATTTTAAGAATGAAGTACTGCACAGAGTCATTGTTTTAAGCATAGACTGTATAGAAGGACTCAATTTCAGAAAACTAAGGAAATCTTACTGAAAATTCCCATTTGTGTTAGCTGTTTCGGAAAAGTATGTAGTGACCCAGAATACTGAAACTAAATTGAGTAAGTGTGGCTTGAAAGATTGAACTCTGAAATCCATTTGAATGTTTCATTCAAAAGGTTGTTTAGGTAACTTCTATAGACGTTATATGTACTTGAATGGTGGGAATATAGAAGGTAGGTTTGTTTTTACCTGTGGTTAAAAGTGAGTGTCAAATTAGGGGTTTGATTCGCTTTTACGTGATCTTTTGCAGCGTTCACTATGGCATGGTGCAGATTAGAAATTTTGTTTGCATAATTTGGCAGATGTTCATGAGTGTGAAACACCTGAACAGTACTGAGTGATTCCCAAACTATATTGTTATTTTAAAAAGACAGGATTCTCATTCCCACATCTGTCACTGATGTGTGGAAAAACGGTGATCAGCTATGAAAATAGCTATGCAACCTTAGGTTTTCCTTGCTTAATGCTGAGATTGTCAAACATGAGCCCCTGAGTTCAAGTTTTGCATAGTGAGATGTTCTTTATAGGTAAGCAAAATATTACTTAGAGGTAAAATCTAATCATGTCTTTCCCTTGTCATGAATGTAACTAAGGAAAATCAATTTTCATGCCCCTTTTCCTCAGTCTTTACTTGATTTGTGTATTGGGGGGTTTTTGTTAGCTTTTTTAAAAAGTTGATTATTCCTTAGTTTTTCTAATAACAGATGAAATTAGTTAATTATACTTTCTCACCAGCTGATTGAATGTGGTACTACAAAAAACTTGAGAGGTTTGCTTGAATATTGACAGACTGTAACAGAATTGCATTATTGCCTTCTGCAGTGGTGAGTTATACTGCTTTATTTCAGCTCTGATTTCACCTGTGAAGTACATCCTGAGTAAATGCAATTGATACAGGCAGTTTAAGTGGCTTTATATCGTGCTTTATTAGTGTCACCATAAAGACAAATAAATGTAAGGAGAAAAAAACAAACCAACAAATCCAAAAATACCCAACCTAACCAACTGACCAAAAAAACCCTCACAACCCAAAAAGAAAATCAAATCCCAACACCCCTCACTCTTGCATTTTAAAAATACATGATCCCATTGTGTTGAGATGCAAATTTTGTAATAGTTTACTGCAGGCTTTATTTTTGTATTTTTTTAATAGTGTCTGAGAGACTTCAGTTAGGAGGTAGATGACTTTTTTTGATCAATAGGCCAAAACCCCCTCAATAATATCTTACACCTCTACTATGCATTGGAGAGTTCTAACGAGTTTTTACGTTCACTTGTTGTTCATCCCAGCAAGGTTGATATATCGTTATGTGTACGGGCAGAAAAATCTTCCTTAACTGTCTCTCTTTCACATGTAATGTTGGGTGGAACGCTTCAAAAAATATATTCAGATTCACAGTCTCCTGGTAGACATTTGGTTAATCTGATTATCAAGCATTAAAAGTGAGTTTTATTTTAGCTTCGGGTATTATTTTGGCTCTGTGATTTCTTGGCTTGCGTCTCTTCTTCTTGAAAGGCCAGAATAAAACTGTTTCTGAGCATCACGTTACCATTTTAAGAAATTTGTTGGGCATCTTATTCCTGTTGTTCTGCAACCCATTCTTCATTTTGTTCTCCTGTGTCTTTGTCTTTTGAGATGCTCTGGAAAAGGTGGCACTGATAATTACTTTTATTTTCTCTCCCTTCTCACTCCCTTGAAGTAGAAGACAATACAGAAAATCTTTGTCTGGCTTGCACCAAGCTCTATCAAGCCTTGAGTGAAGGAAATATGCTTGGAAAAAGATTGAAGAGAAGAAGTGTGCTTCTGAAGACATTATATAAACTTGTAGACATTGATTCAGATCCACTTCGCCTGAAGCTGGCAAAGATTATTCTGGCTGTAAGTGTTTTAAAATGCTGTTTGGTAGAATGTGAAGCTCAAAATCATGAAATACAACTTGCATTTAATTTTTTTTTATTTCCTACTTTTACACTGTGTCTAAACTAACCCTTTCCCAAGCACAGTTTCTTGCCATGTGGGTACTAGTCTCACACTGCCAGTTTGGCACTTGTTGGAGCCTATGTTTTGCCGAGAAATTACATCTGGGGGAGGAAGAAGGGACACGAAATAGGATAGCTGGTGTGTTTTGTAGGCACGGAAAAGAGACAGTGTCCTAAGTTGGGATACACATGCAGGGGTATAAGCAAAACAGTAATTTTAAAAATTACACATGGAAATGAAGCTTAGTTTTGAATAGTATCTTGACCTTATTGAACACCTTTATCTGAAAATACCAAAACAGTTTCTGTGGGAAGTGTAATTATCTCTTTCTCTAGTATTTCTGGTTAAAACTCTCAAGTTGGTGCTTTTGAACCTATTAGTTCAGCTTCTACGAAGTATGTACAGACAGACACTGGTGAAAGGATGCCAGGTGGCATTGTGCTGTAGACATTATAGTAATTTGTGTGTGTTGTGGAGGCTTTCTCCTTTAAGGTAGCATGTGTTATTTTAGTCAAAAGATATATATTCAGATGATACATAAATATTACGTGGTGCTTACAAAAAAAATAAAAATGTTCTGTTTTAGATTTTTTTCTGTGGAATCTTTCAAAAATCATGAACAACAGAAGAAAATGCCCTTGAAATGCAGAGGAAACGAAGAGATTTGTCATTGTATTTTTAACACTCTTACTACCGTTGGTGACTTTCTTTATTACCTACACTGTTGTACTGAGTTCTTTGTGGTATGGCCATAGATGCCAAACCAGTGAATCCTGTACAGAATTTATTTGTAAGAGTGCATTATAGAAACAAAAAAGTGCAAGTTATTGATATATATTACCTGTAGAAAATATAGAAAAAGTTTATATATTATCTGTTATTTTAAAGTCAGTCAGCACAGTTTGCTAAGTACAGCTTAAACTAGCTAGGTTTCGGGGTCCTTCAGTTCTGCACACGTTTCAGTTCGGCTCACTGTACTGGCAGGGTTTCAGCTGGAGTTTAATAGTTCTGTGACAATACAAGTTTGGCCCGGTGTCTGAACTTGTAAAATGTTACGGTGCATGTTTGCATGTAGATTTTAGTTGTGATTTTTTGTGTCTTCTACTTTCTTTGCAGATGAAAGTGGATGGTAAAAATCTTCTCAGTGCTTGCAAGCTTGTATTTAAAGTTTGCAGGAATGAAAAAAATGATTACATCGTTCAAAATGATAGATTACTGGGTATGTATTCTGTTCTTGCATATAATGTAGACGTTGAAACACAGTGGTTAGATTGATCATGTTTCCAGAAACGTTCTCAGAGTTAACTTAGTCACACACTAAAAATTGCCTGCTAGGCCAAACTAACAGTCCATCTAATCCAGGATTCTGTGCCTAACGATGGCGATAGGGGATGCAGATTAGGGCAAGTATGGAAGCCTACGTGTTTTCTGCCAGCTGTTTTCCCTGCACTACACGGCACCCAGAGTAGTTACATTCTATTGGGAACATTAGATGGTGCATCCCTGCCTGATCGTTTTTAGTACCTGTTTATAGGTCTTTTGTTCATTAATTTGCCTAATTCCTTTTTGAACTTTCTGATTCTGTCTGCCTCTACAGTTTCATAGAGCAGCAAGTTCTAAAAGTTCTCTGTGTGCTGTTTTAAACCTGTCTGCTTTTTATCATGCTCCTGCTTGTTTTGAAGCCTAGTTTTGCAGGATTTCTAAGTTTCCACAGTCAGCTTACCTTCCACCTTCATGATGTTTTAAACCACGGTCGTAATGCATATTTCTGCCTTCTCTTCAGACCTAGGCATCTCAGCCTTTTAGCTCTCTTCTAAAGGTACTGTGCCATTCTCTCCCTTGTTTTAGCAGCCCTTCTCTAAACCTTTTCCAACTCCAGTAGATCCTTCTTGAGATGTACAGAACAAAACTGTCTAGAAGTCAAGATGTGTCTCTGCCAGATTTTAAAGAAACAAAATAATGCTGTGTTGTTGGCCATCATCAGGAAGGATACTGAGACTGATCATTGGCTTTTTTAGCTGCTGCCGCTGCACACTGAGCCAGTGGGTTGAGAGACTTGTCAGCAGTGGCTCTAAGATCTCTTTTGTGATTGTAACTGTGTTTGTGTCATACACACACACCTTGCAAATATGAGAAATATGAAGGAAATGACTGTGAATTATACTCAGTATTGACTGATGGTGATTTCTTTCATTAAAACTTCATTATGTTTTATTAATGTGGGCCTTGACCTCGCAAGCATTAATTGCATGTGCGTAAGTTAAGCATATGTGTACATCTGCTTAAATAGAATAGAGTGTTCGTGGTCTCAAAGTTTAGTATGTGAGCGTTGTTGAAATAAAGACCAGATAAGCCTTTCCAGTAGTAAGATCAATAGCAAATGACTCAGAGAAAAGAGAACGGTGCAGATTGCTCAACTGACTTTGGATACTGAAATCTACAGTTTTGTAGAAATTAGCATCATACAGAAATCTGGACAAGTCAAGTGGTGTGTCTGTATAAGCATTGGGGTTTTTTGTTCTCATTTCCATCTTCACTCGCTTTTCTTTCACTTGCTCTTCTTCCCTTGTATTTTATAAAAAATAGTGAAGGAAGTAACATTTTTGGTAGGGTTTTGTTTATTGGTTTATTCAGTCCTTATGTTTTGGGCCCACCTTACCCAGGCTAAAGACATGAACCTGGGTTATCATAGTGATCACCGGGATTTCTGCTGTGGTCATTGGGTTATAGATTCAATTTCTTCCTCTGGATCTGTGAACTATTTATGTGCAGTGGAGCAGCTCCAGTATAAGAAATAAATTCACCATTCATCCCAAAATAGGCAACTGCTGTTCAAGGCCCTCTTTGATAATGAGCAGAGCAGCGGCCTGAAACTGATCTCTTACACTGCCACAGCCCAAGTGATTTAGCTGATCACTAGGCCCTTGGTGAGGGCAAGAGTTTGGGCAAGAGCCTAGAGTGTGTGTACTTTGTCCATATACACTTGGAGAGGGTTTCAGCTTGAGCTGAGACAGAAAAAACTTCAGAATTTTTCGGAAGATGCTTTTGTTCAGCTGGATGGACCACAGGAAACACAAGTAAGTATCAGTTTCAGTTGGTTACTAGAAATTCGAAAGAATAAGATTGGTTAGGATTACTTATTTAAGATACACCCAGCAAATTCAGAATGTCTCACTTTGTGAAAGATACATTGGGCTTGTGCTAACAATTGTTAGTTTTTAACATTTCAGTTATCTCACAGTGGCAGCATAAAGCAAAACCTTTACAGTAACTTTACCTACATAAAAAGGAAATCTAAAAAGGCTACAAACAGACTTCAAATGTGAGATTTTAATTAGGCACTTGTGCTTGTTAGTGCTCCATTTGAGATGCTTTAAGACATTTGATGTTTAAGGAAGTAGTGGGAATAAACCCCTTTAGAATGTCTCGAGTTTAGTACACAAAATCCCAGGCACCCACAATCCTTTTTCAAATCTTGACTGAGGATTTCGGTCATTACTGATATGTGTTTACAACTGGTGCTGGTTCTTGAAGCTTGGGAGAACAAGTCAGGCTCATTCTCTTACTCATTAATAATTGTTTCTTGGTTTCAATCCAAACACCCAATTTTTCTAGCCCACTTACCAGAAATGTATTATAAAGAGTTCAATCTGATGGGGTTGGTTGTTTTTTTTTTTTTTTCTTTTTCCCCCAGTTGTTAATCTCTTCAAAGACTGGACTGTATCAAATATAAATGTTAATATTAGGCTTTCTGAATAATGATTTTCCTTTTAGATTGTTTGTTGGAGGTCCTGAGAACTGAAGATCTACTCAAAAACAGTGAAGCTCTCCTGTATTGCATGGGGGCTATAAAATTCATGTCTGGAAATGCAGTACTCCTTAATGAAATGGTCAACAAAGGAGCTATTGAAATTTTGCTGCAATTAATGAAGCAGATTAATAATATAAAAGAAAATGACACACATTTCTCCAACTTGGGCCACCTATTAGTCCAGGTTAGCATTTACTTTTATTTCTAAAAGTACACACGTCAAGGGCAAATTAAAAATTTAATTAGAGGAGATAAGCTAACCCTGCATGCTGCTGACAGAGTTGTACCTATATTTAAATGGACTTATTTTTAAGAAGTTTACATGAAGTTGTCAGGGCCTAAATTTAATTGTCATAGATATTTTTATGTAGTCAATATTAAGACTTTAGGAACTCTGAAGTTAATAGAAATACTTTTAGGTACCTGATAAAACCTGTTTATTCTTACTACTTTATGGTGCTGAAAGTGTTCTGGATATTATAGTAAATGGATAAAAATGTGTTCCTTGTCTAAATTCTTTAGACTGAAATAATAAATACAAACTGGTTCTGCAATACTCTGAGATTACAAAAAGCTTTTTATTACAAGAAAAATGCGTTTTTAAAAATGCATAGGAAAATATAGCTATGTTTCTTTGACAAACTGTTTTTGAAGAACTATAAGTTAAGGAAAAGGTGGTTGTAAAAACCAACACTTTTGGAAGCTTTTTTTTGAAGGCAGGAGGCTCAAAACTGTCTTTTTGCATGTGAGGTACCTTGCTGAGTGATGACTATGAAAACTTATCCTTTGCCCTAAAACTGTTTAAAACTTAGTAGTTTAGAAAAAAAAAGACGGTTGTGTATCTAAATCTTAAGTTATGTATAGGCGGTGGAGTTTTTTTGTATTTGTTAAGGATTTGCCAGGTAGATTCCTGGCACTTGTCTTGGAAATTATTGATGTAAAGGTTAGTGAATGGTGTAATTGTAAGCTCCTGGAACTCGAGGAAATGAATTGGTCAATTTTCTGAGGTAGTGTGTACTACCTACTAATTATGCCAGATTTCGTTAATTCTCTTAATTCTCTACTAACTTACAAACAAGAGGTTTTATATTACTCAAAATTATATGAGAAGACAGCTTAGATCATCATGTTACTGTTACTGATTTTTGTCTGTTTATTTTAGTGGAGCTATGAAGTATGTCCAGAATATTTGGTACAGTCTTAAAACAAACACAAAAGGATTGGGAGATGCTACAAGTCATTGAATGAAGTGATGCGGCTTAATACTTATGTTTGCCTAAGGAACTCCCAAAGTTGCAAATTCCTAAAGACTGGGAGAATATGTGATGAAACTGGAAATTTTGTGCTTGTGTTCATGTTTTCTTTCCTATCTGGTTCTCCCATCATTAAGTTCCTACATGAATCATAAAATTCTCTTTTATACACTTTTATCTTTAGGATTGAGAACGTTAACTTTCCTGTGGAACTTGTGAATTTCCAAACAGTTCAAAAATAATCTGTGCCGTTTTGTTGATATACCTTATATTCTATACAAAAATTGCTTGGGATTTCCAAGCCTCCTTTTTCACGAGAAGATGTGCAAACTTCAGGTCTGTGTGTCATCAAGATTTTCCTTGAATGCTGCTAGTCAGACGTTGTAAGTTGTGACGCTACTGCAGTGCTGCCTTAGGCTATCAGTTTAGCTAGAAACCCCCTTCTGAAAAGTATTGAGGAGGGATTGGGGGTCCAGAATAGAATATGTTCTTGGTGTAATTGGAAGGTGATAGATAGTGACTTTAAACACTTCATCTAACCTTACTTTTCTTATAGTTTAAGAAGTATGATGCCTCAAAGATGAAAGCTGTGCAGTCATTTCAGTGAGTGGAAATTTAGGTTGGAGCATTTTAAAACCTAAATGAGAGATACGTATCCTCTAGCTCCAGTCATGTCTATATGGTTAAAAAATGGTTATCCTTCTGAGAGCAGAAAGGGCATGGTTAAAAGCAAAGTATTTTACTGACGTTTGCTGGCTGCTGTTGCCATTAATCATATAATAGGAATCCTGTTGGGTAGGAAGAGGTGGAAATTTATGTTAAATAGATATAAAAAGTTTTTGCCAGTTGGGGCATTTAAAAATTACTAATGGTGTCCAAATAATAGAACTAATGAATCAGGTTCTCTTCAGCTGTTTGACTAGCTGTCTGAACTTCCCCACAACTTCGCAGATATGCTGCTTCTTCCATTATTTGTATGTGGATAAATCTGATCTTTTTTTTTAAATCAAAGGTTTAATTTGCAAATGTGAGAAAGGAAAATACTACATTTGATGCTTTTTTGTTTGTCATTATTACCTCCGCTGTTTTCAGTATGATTGGAACTGTAACAAAACTAGTTGGTACAGTTGGAATGGACTGGCTGTTTCGAAGAAGGCCTCGAGTATTTTGTGGAAAAGTCGATCCTGACAACTGTCTCTTACTGAGGTTGCTGTTTCACTTTTTTGTATTCTCTTCTACAGTAGTACAAATACTTTGTTTTTGTGAGAAAAGTTAGTGATTTCTGCATCTATGGAATTCCTGTGAGACTTTCTCATATCTGTTTCATCAACAAGTCTACATTAACATGCACGATTTCTTGTTCAGTCATTATAGACACATGTAGGGATAGCTCTATTTTCAGGGACATAGTGTCGAAGAAAGTTTCTTTGATGATTCATGTCTTCAGATTATAGAAGGTCTTTGCGGCATACTTTAACGTGTAGCAAAAGATCAAACGTCCAGTGACATACAGAAATAGTGAATAAATAGAGTTCTTCAGGAAAAGAAAACAAATTATACTGGAGAAGAAGACCCCCTTAAACAGTCACGGTGGTCTCTGAGAGAGGCTCTGCCATCTCTCCCTCCATCTCGGTGAAGTGGGACCAGCTCTTCATGTTTTAACCGTAGAGTTGCACAGTCACCAGATGGCAGTGTTATACATCATCTGGCCAGGCCCTTCTGGTGGGAATGAAGCCCCCCTCTGATTTCTTCACACAACAGATTTTATGCAGAAGTGCCACGGTACGAGAATAAAAATTTTTGTAATCATAATATTTTTTCCTTAATAGAGGACATGAAACCAAGATCATCTTTGAGTCATTTTATGTTGCTTCACCTAATAGTCTGCTCGTATTTATGTGAAATATGGTGACGCTTCTTCAAAAACTAAGGCTTTTGAAGTGTCGCTGACAAGCCGTAACAAGTATTCCTTAACTGAAAAGCACTTAAATGCATTTTCCTTAAAAAATAGCGTTTGTGTGCTGTGAATTTTTCAGTTTGGGTGAATTTGATCTTTCACATGACAACATAAGGATCAGGGCTGATGAGGATTGCTAGAGCTCATTGTTAGGCATTTCTCCCTGAATCACGGTGTCTGCTTGAAGCAATCAGAATATCCCTTGAATTCATCTGCTGTCTGGCTAGCTCCTATTACTTCTGAACTTGTACTCTTCACATTTCACTTGCATACTAACTGTTCTTTTGTGGATATACACTTCTGTGAACTCGTGAATTTTATGATCTCACACATTTAAGTGTATACGTTATTTTGCATTGCTTTTTCTGCCCAACCTGTGTTTGGGTGAGGATTCCTCTTGATAGAATTTACTGCTGCAGGATTTTAAACCATCTATCTCAGGAAGTGAAAAATTTCACTTTCTTTTTGGTGAACTCTGCACCATTATCTGTTGGTAACGATTTATTTCCTTTTTCCGTCATGAAATATGTAGGTCTCTTTGCTGCAGTGAAGGCCCTGGTCTGGGTTCAAACAACCCTTTTAATATGTGGTTATCCTTCATTATCGTGTAGTTTAGCTAGAGCTCAATAAACCCTAGGCTGACTGTGAACATCTTGTATGTGAGCACTGAACAGAGTCATCTTGTCTATTCCACGTGGCAGGATTTTTTTCCTCCAAAGCTTTTGAATAGCAAAGTATTTCATCAGAATGTTTTTATTTTAAGATATTTCTTGAATATTGTGTTGATTTTTGAAGCATTGTGACTTGTGACAGAATGCCTGTCTGGAAATGCATTTTTTTGTAGTTGTTTAATTAAAATAACAAGAAACTCCAGGTGTCTTGTTAAAATACGAGGTAAAAACAATTGTTTTCCATAGGTCCAGTTTCTGTTTATTCTGAATATAGTATACATTTCATATTTAGTGCTGAAGTTAAATCCATTCACGTATCACATTCACATTATCCCATCATTTTTTTTTTCCCCCTCTGCTTTGCTTCTCCATTTTGGCATGTTGTTCCTTTTATTGTTAGTCCATTACAGAACGTCTTGAGTTGCATTGTCATTCCTCATTCGTGTGGTAACTGAAGACATGGACACTTTTGTCAAATTCGTTGAAGTAGAACAGCAAATTTGAAAGCTGCCGGAGAAGGGACAGAATAGTACATAGAATCCTATGGGCAAAAGCTCCTCAAACACAACAACTTAACCTGCTCTTTGTCAGATTTTTCTGTTCAGATTGGCAATTACGTATCACTGGACAAGCAGTCCAATTCAGTGATAAAATACTTTATAGTTTTTTGTGATATCAAGCAATTTGAACAGGTAGTCTTCATGCCTTATCAAGCTACATTTAAAACCAAATTGAATACCTTACACTTAGAATAAGGAAAATTTGAAGAATTCCCATGTTCACACTAGATTAAATGACTTGACATTAATTTTGCAGTAAGTTCTGGTTTAGATCAGCAGTTAACTTCCATGTCATTGCCTCTCTGACCTTGGCATTTGAATACCCTTATCTTGGAAGAGAACCAGAGCATTTCAAAATACGCAATAGCTGATTCATTTTGCATATCTACAAGTGACAGATATTTTATGCTTAAAACTCCTTAAAATAGAACACTGTCTTCTGAAAAAATACTGTGGTTTCTCCAAAATAAACTGGAGGACTTAAGCTTTTAATGGTTTTTATACAGTTCGAATAGTGGATTTCTCTTGATCTTGATTAACTTACAACTTTTTAAATCAAAATATTGTCTTTTAAAATAAATTTATCTCAGTTTGCCGCTTACAGTTATTATCAAAATAGACAGTGGTATTAATTTACAAGATTTAAATGTCTATTTGCAAAATCAGACATTATGCAAGAAATCACTTCAGCTATGCACAGCATTTCCCTTGATTTCCAGTCGGTGTGTGGTTGTATACATTTTTAAAAACACAGGAAAGATCAGGTTTCCCTCAGAGGAGGAGGAGGAGGATCAGTGTGAACCTTCTGTTTTAAACCAAGTATGTTGGTATGGACGGTTTTGTCCCTTACGCATTTCCCTGTGTCAGTTCATCGGCAGGTGTGTACCTGCAGAGCATTACCAGGGCACTCGCACTGCCTCAGACCCAGGAACGGCACCCGAGCCGTATTAAATTTTCAGAAGGGTGCAGGTTCTGCTGTGGACGGCCGTGACTGATGGGCCTTTGGCTGTTCCCATACAGGTGATAGCCACCCTGCGGAACCTGGCCGATGCGCCCGGGGCCGGCTGGCGGCTG